GGGGGGGTTAAAGGCTCACAGATTCCTGCCAAAGCGAGTTTCTAAGAATGTCCTCATAAGTGCTTCTGAGAAATGCGGGCCAGGCCATTACAGCGTCACGAAAGGCCGATTAAATATAGAATGATAATTATAACCATTAATAGCGCTCTTTGATAGGGACCTATAAAAAATAGATAAGAAGAGCGTATTGTGAGTGAGCCGGTGCTGGGACACAGATCGGAGCCCTCCAGGGAGAAAGTGATAGGTTCATTTGCCATATGTGATCGACAAGAAACGCTGTCGCAATATGATCAATGTTCTGATGGAGTAATTCAGCAAAGTCAATCACCCTGACGGTCATAGTCTATAATATAAATCAAGTCAAATCACTCATACTGGTGTGAGAGTAGAAGGAGGCTTTGGCCTGACACTGACCTCCATACAGTACTTTCATGTGAACTAAACCTTTTTAAAGTTATATTAGAAATGAACATGGTGACTATGTGAGAGGCATCTAGCTGCAGGAGGAGCCTCAGAGGGCGTGGTCTACGTCAGCACCCAGACCACTCTCGAGCCCCCAAAACATCGTTTCGTAAGACGCCATTTTATGGAATGCTGGATGGGTCAAAACAGATATAAAAAACAGGGTATAAAACGTATATTGCATTTTTTCGCACTAACAAGCTGAAAATTGACATACCGACGTGAAGATTTTGCTCCTGTTAACACATACAAAATGTGCACGTTAGCATGTCAGTTTTGAGCTTGTTAACGTGAAAAAAGCAAACGTGTTTTACCGCTTTTGATACAGGAAGTCCTGTAGTCCTTAGTGACACTTATTTACAAGTCAGTTAGTTTAGAAAAGGGTGATCATACTGACTCTGTGAAATAGTAAATAAAAGGAGGACTCTGCAGATGGACGGAATTGTTTAATATCAGACCTTTTTATGTCGCCCCCAACCACTCACACACATACTTTACAGCTAAGACATGTTGTCTGTAGTTAGGAGAGCTATCTGACACACACACATTATTAAGACAGACCTCGGACATGTTAGAAGAATGACTGGCACAGTAGCGAAAGGTAAACAACGGATCCCGTCGTAACGTCTTTACATCTTTGGGAATGATGTTGTGGGGCTTGAGAGTGAAACACGCGCTCTCTGCCCCCCCTGCAGTCACCTGCTCGTGGAATATGTAGTCGTTTATGCATTAGTGTAATTGTGGTATGTGGTGTGGACAGTAGGGGGCGCTCTTACAGGCAGGTGTGACCAGAGCCTCGGCGACCCCCAGCAAGATGTACTGGGGTGCCAGCTGGAAGCAGGCCATGGAGGAGACGTGCAGCACCTTGCCCAAGAGCGCCTGCTCCACCAGGGGATGGCCCTTCCTGCAGAGCTCTGAGAGACCTGCCACCAGCACCGACGCAGCAGCACATGCGTGTCCGGCCACTGCGGGGGGGAAAGAGAGGCGGGGCCTAAGGGTCACATGACCATTCCCATCATCATCGGCAACAAAACAGCAGAATACAGCAATGCATCCAGCCCCAACAAGCAAACACATGAGCTGGGGTGCAGAAATAAGGGAGGGGCCCAGTTGCCCCCTCCATAAAGAAAACCTTTATATATGTAACAGAAGCTTTTATCCAAAGTGATGTATAATGGGGTCAGCCAGTACCTAAGTAAGGGTTAAGGACCTTGCTCATGTGTCCAATGGTAACATCACTCTGAGGACCCTAGGATTTGAACCAACAACTTTCCGATCATAAGCACAGTATCCTAATGCACTGAGCCACACGCCTCCTATAATTTTCATTGCACCCCCATGGCTGTTCTTTCATTCCCCCAAGGGACACTTTCAAAACCCTTTGTACATCCATGTAGCGGATGCAGAAACAACATCATGCACAGTTAAAAAAATAACCCAGAAAAACATCTGCACAGTATAGGTGTCAGAAACTAACCCAGACCCTGAGCACACCCAAAATCCAAGTTTTGCAAGAAAGAAAATGTTCCCCTGGACACAGCCACTGGTTAGAGGAAAAAACATTTTCAGCAGAATTAATTAAATGAAATAAGTTACATGTCCTGACACTGGTATCTTCCTGGAATCCCAATCTCATTAATTTCCTGGGGCTCTGAATCAGAATAACGAGGCGACTATGACCACAGTGTCACCTGTTCTCATGAATGGCAGCAATTTGTCTGGCTGTGTTGTTGACGAGACTCAGGGATAAAAACAGTAAAGGCATCTCTGGAACTCCGCGACCACCGGGTCGCCTGACCCCCGTCTCCGTGAGTAAACAGCTCCTGTACCAGGGGCCTAACAGTGCCTGGGGCGCCATCATGCTCCTGCGAGATCTGTAATGCCGGGAAAGGGAACGCGGAGGGCAGCTCCACGACGACGAGACGGCTTCCCGGGTTTGTAACAACCTAAAAGGACCAAGGATGTCTCTGAGGCAGCCTGCAGCGGAGGAATTTGATTAATATCCTACAGCGTGTTGAGTCACTCTTTGGGGTGAGCTGGGTGAGGGAAAACTTTTCACACCTACGCAGCTGTGTTGGTCATCATCTGTGAACCTTAAGGCACTTAAAACATTCATGCTTTACGGTTGTTATTAGTTAGTCAACACCTCAGTGGTGAGATCGCACAAAAATCAGAGACCGGAAACCGCTGTGCTTTTGGGTGTGTAAAATTCTTCTTCACCATTCCTCTAAGCCCCTAGACACACACTGCCATCCTGATCTTTTCTTGACATTACCCGGAGGGGCTATATGCGTGTATGCAAATGTCCAAATCGGTTCTACTGGACATTAAAGTGATTTTACCCTGCTAGCTCCCTAGCACAAAATCCGGGTAATTAACAATTGACCCCCATATGTGAATGGAGCAGAAAATTGTCCAAATGGTCGGCAAGCAAGTGAGCGTGTTGATATTGCTTCTGTCATGCGACTGGCGTGAAAACAGAAGAATACAAACATCAGAGGGTGAAAAAGAAGGATCATTTACAAAAGACGATCCCAACGAACGTGGCTAACGGGAGAAATGGAGAGAACGGGAAATTCTGCCAGTAACTTCTGTCACACCTTTGATGTGCTGCAAACAAAACAGCAGATTTTGCACATCAGCTCAGACCACCGGGACGCTCTACCCAAGCATCACCCCTCACCTAAACCGACCGGAGTATTTCTAGCAAGTGTGAACGCAGGTGTGAAAAGGCCCTGGCAGGTGTGGAGCGTGAAAACGATTCTAGATTCTTCCCTATTTCTATACGATGTTGTGCTGTGCTACTCTATGCTATGCTATACTATGCTACGACATACTGTACAGTAATATGCTATTCCACAAATTGCTAATTTCACCATCAGTCCCCAGGACACCCGAGTTTCACCTATGAGTGTGGTGGTGGCCGGGGGGGGCCTCCCGCGCAGCGACAGGGAGCAGGCGGCGACGCACTCCAGCAGGGGTGTCAGCACCAACACGGGCACCATGCCCGCAACGTTCAGGGCTGCAATGGGCAGCAGGTTGCCCTTCAGGTTCAGGTTGGAGTTCATGGTCTGGATGTAGTAACTAGAGGGGATCTGAGGAAGAGGGACTCTGGTGAGACCTTCCTATAGGGGGGACTACTTAGCACAGCCTAACGGCTAGCCAAACGAGCTAATGAATCACGAGCCGTAAGCAGTCACTTTTTCTAAGAGCTCCCCCTACAGGATGATGGAGCATCAGGTAAATACCAATAAATAAACCAATAATCATCCGGGGAGAGAAAGCTTCTTAAGTTACAGACAGTGTCACACTCCTTAAATTCAGGTTCTTCAATAACCCAAGAAACGTACAGCCTGCCTCTTTACCTTTACAGCTGCAGGTTTAAACGTCAAATTAAAATGATTGCACAGTATAGTTTTACAGCTGCATCAGTATGTGCCATAAAAGCCCAGCTCCTCATGTCACTACGCCAATGAGATGCATATAAAACAGGCTTCTGAGGGCTGTGCAGTTTAGCAGGGGGGCTGATTAGCGGCCAGGCGCCCTCAGCGTTCTATTGGGCAGCGCTCACTGCGTCCCCCCCCCTGCCTGGGATGCTGCTGTTAAAACAGGCCATGTGGTGTTGATGAAGGCTGGTGTGCGAGAGCCTAATATGGTGCCTCACACTGACCTTTACAAACATTTCTGTAAAGTTTCAGGCTCGGGGGGGGGGGGCAGGGGGGGGGGGGTGCCTTAAAAATCACTTATCACTGACTGCTTGTAAGGGCCTGTCCACTAGCATGATCCATGTCTAGATAGTGAATCGAGAAAAACAAGAATGTGCGGTAGCGGGGGGGGGTTCACCCTGGGAGAGTGACTTTGCGTTTTTTGCCAGCACTTGCCTGGGTGACACAGGCGCGGTACAGCAGCTGCAGGCCGAACAGCGGGAAAAGCCGCACCAGGACCTTGACGCTCTCCACGTGTGCCTCGCTGTAGCGCCCTCCGTTGTTCTCCTTGGCGCGGTCCAGGCAGTCTGCCACATCGCCGCCCAGGTGCCGGTAGCGCAGGCAGCACATCTTCAGCGAGTTGAGGAGCACGCCCATCATGGTCAGCAGGGAGCCACCTGTCCGCCGGAAGATACGGTAAGATTATAGCATCAGCAGGCCTAAGTGGAACAGTCCAGCTAACACCTCCACCTGTCAGTGGTACAGTCCACAGAATCGGCTAACATCACCACACCTCAGTTAACAGTCCTCACAATCACCTAATACCTCCAAGTATCAAGGATGCAAACTATCTATAAATATTGTATATATAATTATAAATATATTAAGCTGAAATGTAAACATGCACTTTATGCTAACCGCATTCAGGAATCCTAGAATACCATTTTTGGGGCAGAAGGTGAGGTTGTTGCGCGCCATGTGAATGGCGATGAGGGCCAGCAGGATGGAGGTGAACGGGATGAGGAAGCCCAGGTTCTTCGCGATGGACTGCTGGATGTAAGCGATCCCCAGAAACACCACGGTCGAGTTCAGGTTCACCCACCAGTAGAACCTGAGAGGAATGAGAAGAAAGCATCTTTCCAACCTGGACGCCATTAACCTGCTGCTATGTCAAGCAGGAAAAAAATGCCAGTCACATGTTTATATATTAATATGAGAAGCAGCAGCATGCTAAGAAAGTGGACAAAGTGGGCTTTAATGCTGTCCCACAAGCATGGTACTTAACCTAAACTACCATGGTAAAATATGTATTGTTTCAATATATATGAAATACATAAATATATTACCATACGCAAGTACACACTTCATGTGTTTTATCCTATGGACCTGCTTATAAACACATGAAGTGTTTATTGGCCTTTTCATCACATTCTTGTTAAATCAACACCCCTCAGATCCTCCAGGGGGTGCTAACCAGTTGAAGAAGGATCGTAGCTGGTGTTGGTCACGGCCTTGCAGGTTGTAGGCGCCCAGCGGGCAGAGGATGGCACGGATGCCCCCCAGGCCCAGGGCGGCGGCCAGCAGCCCTGTGTAGAAGAGGATGAGCTGGTGCCGGCGACCCAGAGCGTGCGTGACATGGTGGGTGTCCACGTAGAAATCCTCGAAGGGAAAGGCCACCACGGGCAGCATGGCAGTGCCTGTAAGGGGGGGGGGGGACACGGAGCCTTCAGCTGAAAAAGTGCTGGGCTTGGATCCTTCAACCCATTCGGGTGAACCAGAACCTCACATGACCACAAATTAAAACAGATCTCTGCATAGTGATGTGTTCTGGCATGGGGTCGATTGTAGGATTTCTTGAACCTGGGGCGGGGTGGGCACATTCATTCAGTGGAGCCAACCTTATTATTAGCCGATGATATGTTTTGAATTGCTGAGTGACAGGGAGACACTCTGGGGCCCGATGCCTCACACTTGGAGCCGTGGGCGAGACTCGCACGCTGATCCCAGAGCTGTGAGGCAGCCGTTCCAACAAATGTGCCGCCCCTACAACATAAACTTCTGCTTTTAGAAAACAATAAAATAGTGTGTGCTGATGTGGTATTTATAGATAAATAACTGAAAATGCTACACTGTACACGGAAGATAGCCAGAAACAAGTACAACTTCCCAAATATTGCATTCCTTGATAAACTTTAACTACTAATAGGGGCTTTACAAATTCACAGGCAGGTGATAATAATACGCAACTCCGATAAAAAAGAAAAATAAAGAGCACATTAAATGCCGACAGCAAGCGGATCCTAGACAATCTGTTAGAATTCGGGGAATATCGTGGCCCCCAAGTCGAAAGGGGGATGCATTATTTAAAAAAAAGAAAAAAAAGAACGGCAAGCACAAAACGGCGCCTTTCGCGAAGAGAAGCGAGCAGGATCCGTGAGTGGAGGATCACAGACGAGGACGAGCCGTGAAAAGAACATGAAACGGAGCGAGAAAAACCCACTTCGGGATGAACGAAGAAAGCGTCAACCGAAAACGATTAAACAAATTCTATGTGGTAAATACATTGGGGGGGAAATAATGAAAGCTTTCATCAATCAGGAATCTGGCAGATTGTCACAGGCTCTTTGAAGTCTGCTGATACTGCCACTGAGGAGCCCAAACGAGTAAATAAAACATTACTCTTTACTCCAGCTTTTCTGGTTAACAGGGCATCCCCGCTGATCAAAAGAACATTAGCTTTGATTAATCAATCAATACCCCGGTGGCCAAATCCTGTCCACTGATCTTTCCGGCAGCGTAGACACGGTATGGAGGTCAGTTTCTCAGCACGTGAAACGCTTGCGGGATTTAAAGTAAACGGTGTAAATGTCACCGTTTCGTTACCATACTGCGAGGACTGGCTCAGGCAGGGACGGCAGGCAGAGTCACAGGATGCTGGGATGCTGATGCAGAACCAGAGATGTGGGATAAACTTTTGTCCATTCTGGGGTTTGCCGTGTCAAGTTGGGCTTGTTGGACGACTGAACTATTAAAAGAGCGGGCATTTTCATTGGGGGAGGAATTAAATGACACTAGAACAAACATGTTGTGTTAACAGGGTTTCCCGGAATAGGAGCGGATACAGATCAGAGAAAATCTCATCACTTTATAGCATACTCCATTTGTGATGGACAGGTGCAATACATTAATATGGATACTGGTAGATACCTGCCCCCCTCCCCGCCCCTTTGTCCCACAAAGACTGTACTTGTATAGTTTCATTAAGCATGCAATAGCTTCAATTTCATTAAACTTGTTGCTTATTAATGTTTATACGTTGTTTTTATTTGTGCATGTGGCACTATACCAGCCTAAAGGGTAAATGTGGTTAGTCAAATCACCGCGGTACTGAACCAGGATTTTAATTATAAAGCCAGAGGCCGGAACAACGAGCGAATACCAAAGACTGCAGATACGCTACGGTCCACTACTAGGCGTTGAAAATGAGCTTAAACTGTGGCTCTTACGAAGACAAGACCATCTGACATTGCTGGAAGAAACCTCACTCGGAACGCCACGGGCGTCACAGAAAACTGCAGGACACCGAGGACCCAAATGCACTGCAGGAACTCGGTACCACTCTGCAGATTGAATGAACGAGGACTCAGTGCAGGCATCTCTGCAACCTGCCCTACGAAGTGCACTAAGGAGGGTGAACAGAAGTGCACTAGATTTTACAGGGCTGGAGGACTGTCCTGTTTCGGGATGCAGAGGCTGAGCATAAACACACTGGTTTGGTTAGAAATGACACGGAAGCCTACCACTTATGCTTGTCACACTAAAAAAAGTACAGAAAGTTCCCTTTGCTCCGTTTTTAGTCGCAGAAAATGCCACAACTGAGCCAGACATATGTATTAGATAGGTCTGGCATGATTCTTGTACTCCGTTTTCACCTCCTTTTAGCCCCGTAGTCCTACTGTACCAGTATTCTGACAGTTTTAAAAAGTCACCTGAATAAAGGGGGTACAGAATCCCTACAATGTAAAGCGGCAGGTTTTGTCACCCCGGATGAGGGCGCCTACCGAGCATGTAAATGACGCGCTCTGCGCACACTGGCACCTCTCAGCGCTTTAATGTCATCTCCAGTTATCCTCCATGTGGTCGCATTCATCCTGCAAATGCAAATCAACGTTATCTCACATGACGGGGAAAGTAAACTTTGCAAGTGGAGCTCGGCGGGTTCCCAGTGGAGGAAGCGGCAGCAAAAAGCGTGCTCTAATTCTGTCATTGTCTCACACGCACATTTCAAAGTTTGACTTAAGCAATTCTTCAGTCGCCTTTGTTCAATGACACTAACCATTACGGGTTTCCGGATTCGTTCCTCTGCGTTTTTAAAGAAATAAAGAAAGGAGAGAAAAACACAGCTATTCCTAAAAGGAAACTTTGGCGTTAGTTATGCTAAGTACCGTTACACCCTTACAGTGATTGCATTTGTAGTTTTCTGTCTTTCCTTGAAATCCGCTGGTGTGCTTTACCTTTGGCATTTCGTGGAGTAACGGTATCTCTAGACTAATTTAATTCGCTTTTAATATTAAAATAAATAGATAAATAAAATACTAAGGCGAGCAGTGAGGCTTCATAAGCTAAATGATCAAAGCAAACTGTCTCATTGCCACTGGGGCATGTGCTGATTTCGGCGTTTTGTCTTTGGGGTTCCACTCATGTCTTACTAATATAGATTTGGCGGAATATGAAAGAAATCGCACGATGCATGCACTGGATACAGGCAAGGAACGGGAACCCCCCCAAAAGTCCCGTATCTGTATCACTTATGGTTAATTTTATTGGCTCCGCAATATTAATTAGACTATAGTCATTAGGCTACTAGATTACTGTCTAGATTACAAGAAACTGAAGTATCCATTTCTTTGTCCCTCGTTTACTGAATATCGCATTTCAAGACATAGTGTAGAGAAAGTTTCGGCAGTTTCTACTCCCCGCTTCCGAACCAGAAACATTTAAAAATCCTGCAGATAAAAACTCCGCCAGAACTTCTTAATTACAGCGGCGCCTCTGACTGACAAGCTCCATTATACTGGAAATTATCCTGGTAATTATCTTCCTGAAAGGAGATTTATATTCCTATATTAAATGATCTCGGCGTATGCTATTCTTCAGCACGGGAGCGGTTTGTCAAAAAATAAAAAGAAATAAATAACACTGTAATCGGATGAAGGCTTGATCTATGGAGAAAGTCCTGAGTCCGTCTCCCCTAAGAGCCGACTCTCGTTGTAATGCAGGTTAGTGAGTGCAGTCCGAGCCGGTCCCATCGAGACACTTAAACAGCTGCGCTCTCTAATTATCCCTATTTTGTGTGATGTTTCTCGGTCGCGTCAATACTTTCCAGACAAGATTTATGATGCTGACAGCCTCCGGTGACCCAGCGGCTGTGCTTGTAACGGTGGGGTATCATTCAGAAAGTGAGCCATTTTTATACGCCCAGCACTCTGAAAGCAATTCCCCTTTCACGTATAACGTCTTTGAAAGATGGCTGAATGTCACATTTACACATATTTTGTCTTAATATGATATTCGGAATATATCGCATGCTCCAGTTTTGTCAGTTCTTATTATTTTACTCAATTGATTATTTTAACAATTCGGTATTATTTCAAAATTAAAGCAAACGTTGGCTATAAAATCACGTATTTATCGTCATTTTAATGAACGTTATCGGTAAAGTTTCACAATTAGCATATAACACAGTAACACATTTAGAAACTAAAAGGCTTGGGCTGAGTTTTTAACTGTCTGGGTCTGTCGGCTAAAGGAGCGGAGCTTGAAGACGAATTACTAAGAGCTTTGTGTGAGTAATTTTGATTTTCTTTTCTTTTTAAATCTGCCTTTTAATAAACTATGGCCCGGGCAAGTGAAAGAAGTTCACAGTCTTATCAATGTATATTTTAACTATACATTATATTCACGGACAATTTCAATCATCGTCATATTAAATAATAAAAAGACCACCGGCGCGTTTGGACTGCCTTGAGACGTTATGTTAAATTATGCCCACTATTAAATTGCCTTCATTACAATATTTTACTACGGAATATTATTTTCTCCTCTATGTTATCTCTACAAGCCTTTCCAGAAACCAAGGCAAACGTTGAGAACGAAAATGCAAACTGTTATCAATTGGCAACATTCATTGCGGGTATCTGCCTCCAGTCCGTAGCTGCTGAGAAAGCCCTACTGGTGACCTCACAATGTAAACACATTGACCTCAGCCCCCCTACATCGATGAAAAGCGAAACACAGCAAGGTTTAAGTAGCAGCTGAGACAGCCGGAGAAGAGAATTTTCTCGGCACTCGAATTAATTTTGAGTTCAAGCAGTCAGCATGCGATTGAAAGAAACACGGCCGAACGATCGCTGATTTGCCTCTAGGAGATGTACCGTGCAGGTTATGATTTCTGACACAAAAACGGCAGGCCATGCAGTAACGTAACACCATTACCAGTCTTTATTGTTTTTGTCTGGCTGGCCAATGCAAAAAGCACGTGTGCAGATGCATAGGAAGACCTTACCAAAGAAGTGCAGGAGAGCACACAGGTACAGGACTTTGTTCCTCCCAAGGCAAGTCTCGGCAAACCAGCCCAGGAAGACGGGCGTCAGGGTGCTGCCGCCCACAAATGCCAGGTTCATGGTGGCCGCCTGGTAGTTGTCGTAACCCAGCTTGACAGTGCAGAAAAGGATCATGTTGCAGACGATGCCGAAGAAGGTGAACCTCTCGCACAGCTCGGCCAGGAGGACGCACACCATCACCTGCAGCTTCTTGCGGGGCTGGGGGGGCCCTTCCCTGGCTCTCCTCCCGCCCGGGGGGCCAGACTTGGGGAGCCGCTGCAGGTCTATCTCAGTAGCCTGCAGGTCTATGAAGGCCGTGCTAGACTTCGCCATGTGACTCACACTGGAGGCTGAGGGTGAATGTGGAGGCCTGAGTTCTCCTGACCATCTAAGACCTAAGGCCAGAATTCCACACCCA